ATGGAATTATCCCTCGTTGTAACTACCGTTAGCGGGAATCCATCGTCTAACGAGTGCAAGCACACGACTTGATTTCATCCGAGATGATCCTCGGATCATCTTCTACTACAATGAAACTATCCCTCGTTGTAACTACTATTAGCGAGAATCCATCGTGTAATAGTGTAGGCACATAGCCTAAAGTACTTGGACTACTAATACCCATTTATTCTAGTTAGGTTATCAAACCTAGAAGAATAAACCATTTCTCAATCAATTGACTTGTCTTAAACCACCCACTATGCACATGATGCACGTGATGACATGTTTAATCACATTCAATCAAACTCGGGTACCAACCCTTCTTTCTCAAGCCATACTCATGGTTCAACCAACACTCGGGATTCACTCATCGCTCACATACCAGTCATGGTACTCATAGCGAGAACACAACCTCCGCTCATTAATATTGTTCATTAGTTTCATTAATATTTAAAAGAAGGTCCAAATATTTTTCTTATTTGCTCTCTAAAAGAATAAATTTTCTTTAGAATTTTCAAATCCCTTTTTATTTCTATCTAAGTCCACTTATTTTAGTCCAAGCCCATTTCTTTTAGTCTAAACCCATCTACGTTAAAATCAAGCCTTTTGATTTTAGTCCAAGTCCATTTAATTTATTCCAGGCCCATTAAATTTATTCAAGTTTCTTAACTTAATCAGAATTCCATTGACTTTATCCAATTCTATTTTATTTTCTCTACACCCATTAATTTTGCCAAAGTCTAATTATTGGGTTTTAGGGTTTACTACAAAGCAACCCCTAATTGAGTAAGTAATTTTTCAAATTCTCAACATAATTAAATCTTACCCATTTTATTGTAGATACTAGATATATTTATTTATAACATATCCAAAAATTAGATCTAAATACCAAGTACATAATTAATTACAAACTTTTGAAACTTAGGGAGCAATCTGCCTAGTAGTAGTTTGTCTAGAGCTATCTATACTAAATCGGGTATAACTCTTTGTACATGAATCCAATGACCAAGAAATTTTAAAGGAAATTAGTTGAAACATAGATAAACAACTTTTATTCTAAGTTTCACCCATAAATCTACCTACAATCCGTGAACATGCACCCCAAAATTCGGACAGAATTTACTCCTTATCAACACTAATTTATTAGTTCATTCCAAGCCAATTTTAAACATGTTTTAGTTCACTTAAATTTAGTCTAAGTCCAATCCAACCCATCACCACATACTTGAAAATTTTTCAAAACATAATAAACATCATAAATCATCACAACAAGGCATCCATACATAGATTTATCCCAAACATCAAGCATATAACCATTGAAAATTATTGCAACCCATGAAATAAACACTAACAAAATAACCCATGAAATAAACACTAACAAAATAACTTAAAAAAAATAATTTAAGACATTAATCAGCCAAAAAATGGAACCTACTTACCTCTTTTAGGTTTGATTAGAATTTCCTTGGCTTTTTTTCTTTCCTTTTTCCCTTTCTCTTTTTCTTTCCTTTCTCTCCTCACGTTTTTTTTCCTTTCTTGTCTCTCTTGCCTTTTCTCTACCAATTTTTGGTACCTATGAGTTGCTAAAATTTTTCTCACTATTTTAACACTTGCTATATATAGATATACTTACTTACCTTCAGCTACAAGTGTTAGAAATTAATGGGACAAGGTGTAAAAGTTATGGTCGAGTCATGAGGAAAGATGGTCGCTTTGGGACCATAATGGGTGAGTTGCCCTTAAATTCATTTATTGCATTTGCTTAGGTGTCTACATAAATTTTAGACTAATTAAAATCATTAATTAACTTAATTCAAGTAACTAAACCTAATTTCTTATATAAAAATATTCAAAAATTTCCATTTTTAAAATTCGGAATTTCTTTTTCGAAATTCCAGCAGTGTTACCTCCTAACCCATCTATACTAAAATGTGCATAACTCTTTCTATATATGTCCAAAAATTATGAAAGTTTATAAAGAGCTAGTACACACGTAAAGAAAAAACTTTTATTCTTTAAGGTTTTCTTGAAAAATCAATCTAACATCATCAAATAAAAGTCACAAGATTCGTGCAGATTTTTCTCCCGAAATTCCAGCGAGAATGCATTTCGAAACAACCCTCACCATAATCGATATAACTCTTAATGTATAGGTCCATAACTTATAAACTTTTATACAGGCCTATTCAACACATAGATGAACAACTTTCATGCTGTAAGGTTGACCCAAAAATCACCCTAAAGTCCTCAAATAATTCACACAAAACTCGGGCAAAATATAATCCTTAAAACTCGATTTTTCATATTTGATTTCTTTAATAATTAAACCATTAATCTTAAGCACAATAACTTTAATTTAACATAAATCACATATTTCAAGCATTAATTTCTCATGATGAAATGAGAATTATACTTACTCTTAATATACGTATATATAGAATGATTCTAATACACGTCGCATTACGGATAAGGGTTTTTACGAGGGTTACGGATGTGATTGGGCCGATAAACTCGAAAACTAGTAATGGTGATCGATTCATCCCGGTAATAATCAATTACTTGACAAAATGGGTTGAAGTAGCATCCTTCACATATATTACCTAGAGAGTTGTTTGTCGATTCGTGTAGAAGGACATCATCCGTCATTATAGACCTCCGAAGAGCTTGATCACGGATAATGCATAGAATTTCAATGGCGGGATGATCATAGAATTATGTAAACAATGGAAAATCAAGCATCAAAATTCTTCACCATATAGACCTAAGATGAATGGGGCCATGGAAGCCGCAAACAAGAATATAAAGAAGATCATATAGAAAATGGACTCACGTATAGGAATTGGCATGAAATGCTACCATTTGCACTATATGCTTATAAGATGGTAGTAAAGACGTCGACCGGGGCAACTCCTTAGTCATTGGTATATGGAATGGAGGTAGTGATACCTATGGAAGTAGAGATACCATCTCCGGGGGTATTAAAAGAAGCGAGCTAGATGAGTAAGAATGGGCCAAAATCATATATGAACGAGTTGAATTTATTAGTGAGAAGAGACTAGTAGTTATATGTCATGCGTAGCTATATCGAAAAAGAATGGCCTGGGCATATGATAAGAAAGTTTGCATGAGAACCTTTTGTGAAAGGGATCTAGTTTTGAGAAGAGTACTCCTGATTTTAGGGGCGAAAGAAGTAAGTAGGCACCTAACTATGAGGGTCCATATGTGGTGAAAAGAGCATTCTTCGGAGGAGCTCCTTTTGATGAAGATGGGTGGTGAAGTCTTGCCAAAGCCGGTGAATTTTGACATGGTAAAAAAATATCATACTTGAGCATACAAAGTTTTTCTTTGTTCCATCCTAAAGAAATAATCAAAATTATGTTAAATATTTGCTAGTTTAATCATTTTACCTTTTGTTTCTCTTTTCTTTTCCTTTTTCCCATCCTATATGAACAATCCTCTATTTTTAATCCATCAAAATGACCCACTCCCTTACAAAGGTGATCAATCCCGGAAAAACAAACAAAATTATTTATTGATCTCATGTGCAATCTCATGTTTAATGTGATTTATGAAAAATGATAACACAAAAAAGGATAAATTATATATATGATAGGAATTTTATTTGCTCTTGATGGATGAAAAGGCTTTTTCATGAATCCTTCATGCAAAAAAAAAATGATGAATAACGGATGACGATAATCAAAGGTTGGTTCGATAGTTTTGGAGTAGACCCAACCAATATGTATTGACAAGGAATAAGGAATTTGGGAATGAAATTAGAATTACGTGTGTAAAACGCCGCCAACAAAAAAAAGTTGATTCAAGAGACATGTGATTAAGCGGACAAAAATTCATAATAGCGACCAGCCTAGGAATCACAAACCCATTCCGGCGAAGATGGATCGCAACCGAGAGAGCAACATGTGTTTGGGCGGTAATAATTTATTTTTTTAGGTACGTTCCTCACACTCCGGTGCGTTCCTAAGGGAAGATCACCTGCTTGAATATGTGGATGGTCACACGTGTTAAATCGTATTCAAAGGAAAGCCTTCTATGATGGACCTCGCTGATTGATTCATTTCTTAGCTACTCTTCTATGATTTTCTTTACTAACTTACTGCAAAGCGAAAGAAAAGCCAAATTTTTAATGGCTTCACGTTGTAAGCTTTGTAAAGAGGGAGCAACTCGTTAGCACCCAATTTGTTTTTTAAAAAAAAGAGAGAAGAGGAAGATAGATGAATAAATAAAAAAAGAAAGAAGAAAAAAAGTAAAGGGAGTAAAATACATACAATTGGGGGTGTAATTAAAAAAAAAGGAGAAAAGAACTCAAATAAAATGGGTTGCAACATGAGGGGCCAAAACAAATTTTAGCCAAATAACCCTTAAAAAATTAGTATAAAAACACCCATTTTTCCCCCAAAAGAGGTAGCTATTGTTCACCTCCCCAAAAATAACCTAGCGACTAGGCTCCTACTACCCTCTCCCACACGCAACCTTCCTCCTCCCCGAGCACGCCCACTACCCTCTCTCACTCACAACCTTCCTCCCACCAGGCATGCCCTCCGCCCTCGGTGCACCTCGGCCCCACAGCGACTAGCACATCTCTCGCCGCTTAGCATGCCTCGGCTCCATATTGGTAGCATGCCTCCCCCTCGGCAAGCCTCGGCCCCTACAACACCATCCCTCACCCTCGCGCTTGCTCTCCCATCCACGCGCTAGTGTCGTAGGCGGATCTCACTTACGTGCATAGTAGCGACGGCACACGGCCGGACCCTAGTGTAGCACCCCCCATACGTGAACGGCCTTCCCTTAGCATGCCTAATTCGTGTGCATGTCCCTCTACTACATGCATAGCCATAGCCGGACCTCTCACTCATACGCATGCCACCTTACTAGCACTCGTGTGCACTCTTAGCTTCGCACACTTGCCTTGCCAATGCCCATACACATGACCGCTTGCTATCGCCCATGCACCTAGCTCACCCGACTCGTAACGCCTTGCCTCTACCTATGTAATAGCGCCTCACCCAACACGCTATGCTTGCTCGCAACCTCATAGTGCCTCCAACAACCACCGAGCCATACACTCGGATCAAACAACCACCACTCCCAATCATCTTTCCTCCGTAATTAACCGAACATCGGTCTCCATTGGGGTTGAAAAGGGTCCAAGCAATTCTAAATTCATTGGACCGATCGCCTTTTTTGTTTTTTTACAGATCACTTTTTTCACTTTTCATTTGACTTTATTTTATTTTTATTTTAACCTATTTTATATGTGATTCATATCAATATGTGTCTACAATCGATTAATTAATTATAGTGTGTAATTAATTAAATGTGTTGTTCATGTGTGTTCATTTGAATGGTCGTGATGTGTCTTGTTATCATGTTTGGAATTTGGAAGGATGTGTTGGATTCAATGTTAGGATACCGGCTATTATTTGGAATTTATACTTCTAAAGCGTATCTTTATGGTAACTTTATCAAAAAACGACACAACATCAAATCAAGCGAGTTTAAATTTACGCCATGTAAATCTATTTTTGTCAAACATAATCAATTATGTATGTCAAGCAATTAATTTTGTCGATTTGTGTTTTTGTCAATTCTAGTCCGATTGCTAATTTTTGTCGATTTTTACCTATATTTGCTTATGTTTGTCAATTTTTGTACTGTTCTTGCCTAAATTTATCGATTTTTTCTTATGATTTCCTACATTGTTGATTTTTATGATTGCCTACATCGTCAATTTTTACTTTATTTTGACTAAATCATTGATTTTTGCCTATGATTGCCTAAATTGTCAATTTTTGCCTATGACTTCCTAAATTGTCGATTTTTACTTATTTCTGCATAAATCATCAATTTTTTCCTACAATTGCCTAAATTGTCAATTTTTATCTATTTTTATCTAAATTGCCAAATTTCACCTATGTTTGCCGGAATGGTCGACTTTTGTCCTATTTTTGCCCAATCATTGACTTTTGTCGGTTTGCCACTTGTTGTCATTATTTGCTCGTTTACCTATTTTGCCAAGTCTCGCCTATTTTTGCTTATTTGTCAATTTTTGTCCACTTGCCAGTTTTATCTATTTTGCTACCCTCACATTCATCACTTTTAGCCATCCATTACATAGTAAGGATGAGATCTCTAACTCGTTTAAGTCTTGAATCACTCGACTAGGAGTAAATGCTTAAAATAGTTGGTCTTTCATCATTTTAAAAGAAAAAAAAATAGAAATCAAATTAATATTGTATTCAATGCAACTTGCCCTTAGGCAAGATGGGGTAGGGTGATTTTTAATCTTCCCTATGCATAATAAACCCCTTGCCTACCTAGAACTCTAAATAGGCTAGTCATAGGATTTCTTAGTACCCGTAATGCTAGGTGGCGACTCTAATCATTTTTTGCCCTTTTGCCCATTTTGCCTAAATTTGTCGCCCTCGCCCCAGACGTTGCTCTACGATAGAGAAAAGAAGAGAGGATAAAGAGAGGAAGAGAGAAAGAGGGAGAGGGAGATGAATAAAGAGGGAGGAGAGAAGGGGAGATATAGAGGGAGAAAGGGAGAGGGAGACCTCTCATCCACTCTTTAGGATCTAGAAATCAGCAAAAAACATGAACGCATCCACCTACACAAGAACATCTTCGACTACCCCTTCGGGATAAGAATTAGTATGATATATCAATTATATAATAATGCCAATTTCTTTTATTAGGCCCTAGATTTCATGAAGCATAAATGAAATATGACATAACATCTATATATGCTCCTAAATCTAACTTGACCTTTTGAATTTTGGCATTACCAATTTTATAAGGTATCGTAAACATTCCTAAATCCTTGCATTTTAGAGGGAGTTTCCCTTCAAAAATGATTGAGATATTTTCTCTCATTCTTTCTTTTTCATTGACATCCAGTCTCCTCTTATTAGTGAATAAGTCCTTTAAGAACTTAGCATACCTTGGCATTTGGTTGGTCACGTCTAAAAGAACTAAATTAGCGTCAACCTTATGAAATAGCATAAGAATCTCCCTATCTTTTTCCTTTTCCATTTCTTCCTTTTTAGATTTCTCCAACATGCTATGAAATGGTGTAATGTTGGTTGTAAATTGAATTGAACTGTTAGAATTTACCTTAAAACTTGATACAACCCCTTCAACTAGAATAATTTCCTTATTTATTTCTAGCTCAAGCTCTTTTTCATCTATTGCCTCAAAGATTACCTTGCTAGGTTTCTTTGCTCGAGCACCACTTCTTAATATCATTGCACTCACATTCTCCTTTAGATTTGCCATATTTTGGGATGGCAAATTTCCTTTCGATTGAGCCTCCGAATTACTCACAATAATCGCTATTTGACTCATTAGATTCTTCAAGTTCCGGATGCTCTTTTGTTGGAATTGCTTCATGTTTAAAGCAAAAGACTTCACTATGTCCTCCAATGACTAATCGGAATGGTGGGGGCATGTTATTGATAAGGCTTGGGTTGATAACCCTATTACGTTTATTGATAAAAGTTTTTCCCTCTTTTTCGATTACCTTTATAACTTAGAATTGAATGGTCTCTCCAACTAGGATTGTACATGCTAGAGAATGGGCCATATGGCCTTAACGGACCATCAAAATTTCCAATAGCATGGACTTGCTCGGTGTGTCCCTATTGGAGTGTTAGCCATAAATTAGTGGTATGGTTTAAAAATGAGCAAATCCCACAAGCTTTAATAGCTTGCAGATTTTGCATAACAATTTTCCTTACTAACAAAGTCATGTCGGACATTTGTTGCTTCGAGCTAGATATGTTGACCTTATTGATCCTCTTTGGTGCATGATCCATCCTTGCACCAAATTACGTAAAAGTTCCTACCATATTAGAAATCAAGATCTTTGTAGCATTAGGGGTATTATCTACCAATTCTCCTCCATTAGAAACATTAATCATGCTCCTTTCCATAGCTAACAAATACTTATAAAAATACATAATGAATAGTTGATTAGAGATTTGATGGTGTAGGCAACTAGCACACAACTTCTTAAACCACTCTTAAAACTTCTTTATTAAATTATTGAATACCAAAAATCTCCTTCCTTATACTAGCGAGGTCTCGATGTAATGAAATATTCTAATATGAAGGCTTTCTACATCTTGTTCTAAGAGTCAATTGATCATGTAAGAAAACCATAATCAACCCTTTACATCCACATCTAGTGAGAATGGAAGTTTGTATGTGGGTTTTCTCCAGCAAGACTATAGAATTTAGGCGAGTAAATGTATCAATCTTGACTTTAGCTCAAAAGCCACATCTAGATTTGAGAACTCGATACATAAGGGCTATTAATTTAGATCGGGAGCGGCTAGTCGCTTTAAGGTTTTGTTTGCAGCCATTACTTCCCTTTTAGAATTACTTGATGAAAAAAACTCAAGACTCGTAGTTTTGCTTGATAAAGCGATAACTACTCTATTGGATGTTTGAATTTGCTTTATTAAAGCTTATCTAGCTTCTCTCATCAACTTATGAAATATTCTTTCTGGTTTAGGGTTAAAGATTAGGTCACTTGTATGAGATCTATCATACACCAACATGATACAAACAATAAGAAATAATCAAAATGTTAAGAAATAGTCAATTTTAATGCAACTCCCTAGCGATGATGCTAAAATTTGATTACGTGTCATATCATCAATAAATTTAATTATTTCTTTTTTCTTACTAAACTTAATCACATTACTATAATTAGGGCAAACAAGCATCGATCCCATAGATAATCTATTTTTAATCTAATAACAACATTAAATGATAAAAGGATAAGTGAAGCTAAATAACTCTCTTAGAAGCCGGAAGAATTTAATCTAGTTTTATGTTTTCCAAGTGATTACACAAAAACCCATTTATAATCATTAACCCTTAGTTTTTACCATAAGCAAGTTTAGACAAGAAGTTACAAAATTGAATTCTTAATTGGAAATAGTATAAAGATTAATTAACTAGCATGCACTCTAATCACTCAATCATGCAAGCATATTCATATAACATAGAAAAGTATAAATACCCAAAAGAATAAGATTAGAAATAGAACCTTTTTAGATCTCATAGTGAGTTTACTAAAGGCTTCAACTTTTCTTTCCACCAATAAAGGTTTTTAGTGTTGTATGGTTTGCTTACAAAAGATTATTTTTTATTTATGGATGCCAAATGAAAGAATTAATAAAGTGAAACCATAAATTTTTTATTTATAGAAAAATTAAGGTTATAGCACACACAACCTTTTCAAGATGTCACACGGCTTATTTTTTAGGACACATAGTTTTGTCTTTGAGTTTACATGGTTTGGAGCCTTGAATAACTAATGGCACATGGCTTACTTGACTAAGGCACATGACTATGCCACATTTACTCTTCATCCTATGTCATTTTAGTTTCTACTCGTGTGTCATTTCTTTCTCCTTTGGAAGACATCTCGAGCATTGACACAAACGGGTGTGTCATTTCTTTGTCCTTTGGAAGACATCTCAGCATTAACACAAACGAGTGTGTCATTTCTTCTACCCAAGCCATATTGATTGCTATTGCCTATGTGTCTTCTTTGTTGAACATCCATATGGTTCCCTTCTTTTTTCCCATGGCCGTAGCTTTTTCCTCTAACTTTCCATTTTTCCTAAAAACTCAAAATTTCTATCTTTTTCTTAATTATCTTAATATGATACAACAAGTACTAGTAAGTTTAATATAAAAGGGCATAAAAGTTATGTAAATTATGCATCAATTAGAGAAAGAGAGAGAGGGAGAGATAGAAAGAGAGAAGGGGAGAGGGAGAGAGAGAGGAGAGAGAGGGAGAGAGAGTCCAAGTGGGAGGGAGAGAGTGGAGAGATAGAGAGAGAAGGAGAGAGGCAAGAGAGAGCATGATAAAGAGGGAGAGAAGAGAGGGAGAAGGAGAGAGGGAGGAAGAGGGAGAAGGAGGGAGGGAGAGAGGGAAAGAAAGGGAGATATGGAGATAGGGAAAGATAAAGAGAAGGAAAGGGAGAGGGAGAGATAGGAAGAAAGGGAGGAAAAGGGAGAGGGAGAGGGAGAGGGAGAAGGAGAGAGCGAAGGAGGGGGAGAGAGGGGGATAAAGGGAGGGAGAGAGAAAGGAAAAGAGAGAGAGGGGGAGAAAGGGAAAGAGAAGGAAAGGGAGAGAGATAGGAAGGGAGGGGGAGGGAT